GTTTGCAGATGTTTGTTCAGGGCCCAAGAAGTATTTCAAATAGAATAATGCAGTATGCATGGTTGCTACTAAAGAAAGGTGTGATTATACCGTTGTATGAGAGGACAACCAAAAGAACACTGCAACCTACTCTGTGCTTTGTAATATGAAAAGCAAGGTCAATGAAACTTGCAGTAGCAATTGCCCGTGTCAATGAGAATGACATGAAATGATTCTATAGTAATTCACACTTGGCTGGTTAAGGTCATGTGGGTTTTATTCAAGGTCAGAAATTATGGCTCTATGTCTCTGAACTCTAAGTGATGGCAGGAATAGAAAGATGCTAGTCCTCCCAATGTATTGCATTTCAACTCCCTGAAGCGTCGATGCAACATCATCAACAGTAAGGAATCAGGGAGATACGAAGAATGGGGCAAAGATTCCCTATCATTGAGAAATGTTTTTCCATAGAGCAACCCAACCTAATGTCTTCCTGATCTGTTTGTCTACTGGTCCCAGAAGACCCCAGACAATAAGAGAAGTGCAGTTAAACAGATGTAGAGAGGACCACACCAAGGAGGGCTAGTTTACCTTCTCCTAGACTTGTCCTATTTATATAAGCTTATTTATAACTACTTTGAGTAGTCCAGCCATGCTGGAGGAGACCTGCTGACGCACTGTAATTTAAAAATATGTGCATCTGTACGAATGATCTGCACATTACACAAAGGACTGGCTTATTCCATCTCACATTATGCAAAGAACTATAATGGCAGTCACTGCTTTTGTTCACTGTTTTGTATGATATCTGATCATGCATTGTCAACTGCAGAGGCTAGATCTGATTCCTGCTCCCAAGGTGAGATAACATGTTTGAACTACAGGCACAATTACATATTTAGTTGGGGAGATTGTAGTTTCCATTCTCATTACTTTGTTGTTGAATGATCTATGACATTAGATTCTCTAAGATTTTTGCCTGTACTGCAGTCAAACTAGGCATTCTTGAAGGCTTTTTAACCACGGAGATGGCTGTGAAAACATAAGTGTTTAAACCCAATTGCTAGCCTCCACTAGAACACTGGTTCTTAACTTTGGGTTACTCAGGAGTTTTGGACTGCAACTCCCAGAAGCCTTCACCACCAGTTGTCCTGACTGGGGTTTCTGGGAGTTGCAGTTCAAAAGCATCCGAGTAACAAAGGTTAAGAACAATACAATAATCATTTTATTGTATTGAATTTTAATTATTGTAAGCCCCCCAGAGACCTCTGGGTAGAGTGGGTGGCATATAAATAAATAAATAAATAAACAAACAAACAAACAAACAAACAAACAAACAAACAAACAAACAAACAAACACAACTTCTCAAAGCTTTCTGAGCTCCAACCACAGCATTTTCTTTCATGTTTCTTCTCCCACCCCCCGCTTTCTAACATTTTCTTGTTTCTCTCTCTGTCTCTTCAAATTGGGTCTTTCCCCCTTATTTTTAAGAACATTTTCACCACTGCCAGTGCTGTCAAAAATAAACTTTCCAATGAGCTCCAGCCTGCATTTGATTGTATCTACTCCAGGTTTTCCACCATCGTTGCTCTAGTTC